TGAATTATTTTTTGTCATCCACGGGGAACTCGTTCCCTTCCTTCACACTTGAACGTAAACAAGAACGGCGAGGGCGCGATTGTCTACTGCAACGGACATCGTCGGATACGAAGGTGGACACAGACTCGACTTCAGCAAACGTTTCCGCTGGCCGACATCGCCACCACGGCTACAGACAGAAACATCAGCGGAGCCGACGGGGACACAGCGCTGCTACTACCACACGCAAGACGTTTACGCGACGATGGCAGAGGCTCGCGGCATCAAGCACCGGGGAGGGGACACTTAATTCAGACAAAGCAGTGAGACCCAAAAGCTTTCTCTCGGTACCATGAGGACGAGCACGTACTCTAGGCACCACGCAACTACCGTTACGGACATGGACACGGGGCACAACAATAGCGGGTGTACCGACAGCTACTGGCGTGGAGAATTTCCTCATGCCTTTCCTACCAAGTGCAGGAGACATTCAACTTCCGCAGGCGATACGTCAGCTGGGCAACCCTACTCATCGCTGTCGTCGCTACGATCCTTGTGGGGAGTACGATCCGCAGCGCAAGAGCGTTTCGCCATGGGCCGTTCGTTCTCGCGGCGGTTGTGAGCCGCCTTTGCTTCCTCGCGCTTCCGCTGGAAGCACGTCTCGGTGGTGTGCCCCAGGGACGTTTTGCACGTGGGGTGCGAGCAGCGCGGGCTCTCCTTCTGGATGGAGCGGCGGGAGTTGCCACCGCCGCGGTTGTTGCCGTTGCGAGGCGTGCTCCTGCCTGTGGCGGACGAACCACCACCCGATGAGGGCGCCGACCGGAACGACGGTGTGCGGCCCCGGTTCTGCCGCGCGGTGTCGAACTTTTGAGACAGACGGACGCGGGACGAGACGGGGGTGAGGGACACAGCGCTGAAAGCAGGGGTTTCACCAGACAGATTCGCAGACTCGATATGGCGAGCGCGATCGATAGCCTCCCGAAGGGGTTTGACGTGTTTTTGTCTAGTGCCTTGGACCGAACGTGCAGTGCAAGCCCGTTTTGGAACAGAATTACCACGATCGCTTGGTACGGCGAGCGGCCCGAGGTAACCCGTGCGACAGCGTATTCAAACCGAGTGCAATCATTTTGGAGACGAATGCCATTCGAGCTAACGTTCTCATTGCTCTCCTGACGGAGGTTGACAAGGCGAAGGGCACTCTCCTCGACAATGTTGGAGGGGATGAGACGATCTAGGAGAGCAGTTTTGAGCTCTACCCAAGTGGTGGGCGAGGGGTAAGAATTTGCGTGTTCGGCATTCTCGTGAGAGACGGCGGTGGAGGAACAATCGATCTTACCCGACATCATCTCTTGGTAAATCTGCAACACGGGACCATCGCAGACGAGGGAGAACGATTCGAACGCGACCGCATCACCGCGTTTTTCGAGTTCGGAGACAGAGATATTGGTGGGGTAAGCGCCTTTCACCTTAAAGCCAGCAACCAAGCGGTACTGGGACAGGACAGAATTGACATCAACCTCGCTCTTGCCGGTGAGGCGGGGGATTTGTTCAACATCAGTGGGAGACAACACGACCTGCTTTTGGCGAGACAACGCATCGGCAAATGACCGAGTCAAATCCGGGACAGACGAGGTGTGCGACGAAGCACCAACAGACAAGACAGGCTGGGACACGCGCTCAGCAGCCCTATTGGCCTCCTGCAGGCTTACCAGACGGTCCATAAGGGTGATGACGTGAGGAGGGGGCTCGTTGATGCGTCCCTCGCCCAAGAGATAAGGCAATACCGCCGAAACATTTCCGCCTTTTTTTTTTTCGCCTCCGCCAAGTTTGTTACTGCCAAAAATGGCACTACCGCCTACCCCCCCAAAAAATACCGCCAACCGGCAATACCGCGGAAAACATGTCCGCCTAAAAAACACAAGTCTACCGAGTAAACCTTTGCATTTTTTACCTACGGGCATAACGCGTGGCGAAGTCCGGCCTTCCGTGGGGGGCGGGCGAAGCACCCCTTGCATAACTTAGGATGATGTAGTTCCCCAATCCGGTTTGACCTTGCTTCGTGTGCCGTAGCATTTTGTGCCGCCCTCACTGCGCCACGACCGCAACCACAATGGACGCGGCACGCATCGCCCAGCAGCTTGTGTGTCTCGCTCTCCCGCCTGACGGAAGGAGCACCGAATAAGCGCCGAGAGGATGTTCTACGGACGCAGCAGCAGCAGCAGCAGCAGTTTTAGTCCGCCACAAACACCGATTTGACTTTGTTTTTAGCGCCGCAGCCGGTTGCGCCGCCACCTCCTCACGCTCTACGGCCGCGCTGGGCGCGAGACACCGCACGCAGCAGCTTGTGTGCCTTGGCCTCCCTCCTGGCGAAAGAGTCGGAGGCTGCATAAGTGTCCCTTTTCCTTGTGTTCTTCGTCTGGTCAGACTTGATGCCATCTTCACCCTTTGTCGCGGTGTCCACCGTCGCCTACGCTTAGTACTCCCAGTAGTGGTTGTTTCGTCGTCGCCGTCTCTTTCGAGCTTTACTTGCGAATTGCCCTCGTACTTTTTAGCATTTTCGTTCGTCTTGTCCTTGTCCGGGAACGCGTCTTACCTCGTGCAGTGGGCCTTTATCTCGGCGTCCTGTTTTGCCTGGTCTGGTTGGGACAGCATGTTTTCCTTTTCTCTACGATAACCACCGGTGTTTCTTTTGGGGGTATGTATGCACTTGCCGTTAGTTTGTAGAACTCGTCATTCTGAAGATGTACGACGGGAACGTTACAATAAGGAATTCCACCAAAGATCTTGCCCTTAACACCGCGGCTAACCCATGTGGTCTGCCTCTGTCTCTCTGCCGGCAACATGTATGTAAACGAGCATCACTGTTACTTCAATGACGTTCTTTTCTTTTGTGTGCAGCCGAACAAAAGAAAAAGGGCTTCAGTTGAGGCCGGGGCTACCCCCGGCTATCATCAATACATAGCTGCTAGACATCGCATTGATATGCCAATGCGTGTGTCTCGTACATAAAACATACGCAAACTACAGACTGCTTAGATGCTTAGCTTTCCTGTGAACGGGAGAAAGTTGCATGCCGGAAGTTTTTAGATGTGTAGTCTATGCCTCAAAAAGGCGAGGAAGTTTCTTTTTTTTCCGTTTTGCAAAGGACAACTTAATTTTTACGGATTGAAAACACGTAACGGTGAAGTCTACCGGACCTTTTCCCACTTGTTCTAATCGTGATGCCATCGAAAAAATACGGTTCCTGCGCTGAATAAACGCTTTGGTCGACATACAACAGGTTGATTTGGTGTTGCTCACCATCGAAAAACGGTAAAAGCACAAAGCGCAGCACCCGCAAAGGACAGCACACTTGTAAAGACCCCGTCCACCCGGCCTGCTGTTTTCAGCAACAGGCGCAGGGCCGAGTGTCGCAACCTGGGTTTTGCTAACAATTTCTTCAGTTTGCCGGCTCATCTTTCACCGTTGCGAGCCCCTTCTTTGACCACCACCCGTCGAAAGGTAGACGAGTTCAACAATAACACATAGGTCGGCAGAGACGCCAAGGGCCAAAATCATGTACATGATCAATCCGAAATAATTAGCGTGTCCGAGGCCCTGGTGCTCTTTTGCTGCTTGGTGCCGTGGATTTGTATTGCTGTCTCCGACCAAAAACAGGGCATCTCGCCGCATTTTTTCAGACGGCATTTTGGTGAGGTGGCACAATGTACACGTCTCTCACACGCCTTCTTGAGCAGCACCCAAGCCCCCATTACCCACGAAGCAGCACGGCGCCGGGAGTGAGTATCATTATTGACAGCCGAACCCAAGGAATCAGTGTGTTGGAGGTCTTGGCGCTGCTGCTGTACCCGTTCTACTGTTGCCGTGTTTGCTATGTGTGTGATTAAAAAAAAATCTCCAGCACCAACAGCAGCAGTAGTTGAAGACACGAGGGCCGTGTAATGTCTCGGTTTGGACCCAAGAACGGACTGAACACGGCTTCTGCCGCTGGATCATGTCTGCAATAGACCTGGACGTGAGTTTGGCAAGCCTTGTGTAGCGTTCTCAATGATGTTCTAGCGCCCGTGGTGTGCCTGCCCGGTACTTCTGTCAAAAGACTGGATCCGTGAAAGGAGCACGTAGTTTTTTGTTTGCCCTTGCTCTTTTCACCGATCCGGTCCCGGATGCATGTTTCGAGAAATCTGTACGCAAGAACGCGAAGCGATTTTTTTTGTCGAGATTTTTTTGTGATTAGGTCGACCTTCGAGAACAGAATGGTGCGTTCGGGTAACGCAACGTTCTCCACCGGAAGCTCGTCCAATGAGAGGCGCGAATCATTTAAAATGCACATGCCAGCGGAGATTCTCCGGGATCCAGGCGAGTAGTGCCGGATAACAGCATACTTCTCGGTGGTATAGCTCGAGAAGCGTGCGACCGTCTAGCCCCTGCGGCGGAGAGGTCGTGATGGGATGAACGCTGTCGTCGACACCGCGAAGAGTAGAAGTTGTTCGAAGTTCTTGCGCGGGCCAGGCGAAGGGCCAAAGCTCGCATATCGAGCGGGGACCTTCTCTCCCCGCTTCGCTGTGAGAGCTCCAGCTGAGCGAGCTGAGCACTCCTACAACTAATTGATGAGATGGAAGGTTCAACTACGCATGAATTGTCCCTACAGCAGTCGTCGGTTGCCGTATATATTTTTATGTTCACTTCGGACAGAGCCCATTGAGCGCTGCGGGCGTGCGTGCGGTGTTGTGTGCCATCACACAGGCCTCTGCCTGTTTATCTGTCTGTTGTTGTCTGTCTGTATGTCTCTGTCTGAAGCAGTTAGGCGCAGAGTGGCTGAGAACCAAACACCACATGGATTCGAAGCCCCCAAAATACATTATCTGCCTATTTTGTCTAGAGCCGATTCCCGGACGAAAATGTAAACCGATCGCATCTTTCTGTGAACCAAAAATATTAGGAAACAGAAGTACAAAGAACGACTACAAAAAGATACCAGTCCGAGCCACCATCCTCCAAATTGGTATTGCGTTTCTGCTCAGGAAGCAAGACCATTCTGCGCCCGCGACAGTGGAGGATGCATATCTACGTGCGAAGAAGAGCGCCAGAGCTCGATCACTGGCGGGTATCAACATGAGAAGGGCCACCGTAGCTCTGGCGGATGACGACGAACCCTGCAGGGAAGACTGCATTCAACCAGGGGAGCCCAACGTATAAGCGTTCAATCAGGAAGGACAACAGACGACCTTTCTTTTGTCCTGGGTGTATATTTTGTTCGATTTTCGTAACAGTGCGAGCGAGTGAAGGCACAGATCAGAGTGGTCGCACAGACTGGTGGGAGCATCTCCAAAATGCGAGAAAGATAGTGCATTCAAGGGCTTCGGACGACGGCCCCCAGGTACCTCCGGGTTACGGTGGGAGGATGTGCTTCATGTAGAGAGGGACCGGTACCACAGCATACCGAGGAGCACATTCGATGACTCTGCGAGTAAAGGGTAAATCAAGATTCGACTAAAGGCGTTGTTATTTGAATCCCGACGTTGATCCATGAACCATTTTGTTGCCAACTTCTTCTCGGAGGCTGCCAAAGTTCCGGGATGTAGATAGTTGAATATTCGTGAACTCCTCTAGTCTATAGACTGTATTGTAAGATTTGGTCAGTTTTTGTGCTTCGGCATTTCTCTCTCTCGCGACAGTGAGTCGTTTCTCACGCTTCCTTCTCAGGGGCACGCAGGAGGCTTGTCGGCACATTAACGCTTATGTGCGGAGCTCGGCAGACCTCCGTGGGGTGTGCGGCTGACGGTCAAAGTCGCAAAAACTGGCTCTATACCCCGGGGACGCGCTCCGCGCAGACAAAGCCTGGCGAACCAATCCTTCTGAAACCCAACAAATTCGACAGAACGGAAATGGCCCGCGCGCACGTTTCGAACAGGTTTCTCGCTGCCAACGACAACTAGCCAGATAATAAACCTCATCATATGCCCCCATGAATCCCTCCTACTCATGTTCAAAGCTGGCGCTATCACGCTCACCACGCCGTTGGCTGTGTAGATTTTTCTGTGCTGTACTCAAAAAGGTTTTCGTCTCTGTGTACCCCTACCGCCCAGACCTCATACAAAACAATCGTCGTGAATTGAATATATTTGGCTGTAAGTTCCCTTGCGTGCAGGCGGAGACGGAAAAAACAGAATATTAATAATACGAATTCATGTATAGTGAAGACAGACGTACGTGGATGTTATGTGCCACAGCCCGTGCCCACTGTTGGTGCGTTCGACGGACCAGAGAATACAAAATGCAGTCGGTAATCTGTTTATTTATTTGTGACTCATCATTTAGAAAGGTTAGAATACTTTCTTGTCGGCATGCGAGCGTTATGTGTTTACCCATCCAAAATACGACACAGCCTGTTCGGGCAATAAAAATGCGCATCATGTGGCTTTGCGTCGCCCACGAGAGGCTTGACACCCGCGCGAAGGGAGACCTTGTACTCTATAGAACTCAACAACAGGATCAACAGGATCTGATTTTTGTTCGATAGAATACACCCAACCGGACCCCATATTTATGTTATACTGAAGTATGTGCACAACCATGCCTCATCATCACGCGCCAGTTGACTGTGCACATGCATTTGCACCACCCGTCATCGCACTGAATGGCTATGCACATGCATTCGCCTGTGACGTCTGGTACCTTCCCTGTCTCTCTGGCGCCTCGTGTAAGAATAAACGAAGGATATCTGGGGTTTTCGAGGCGAGACTGAGTGTGTGAATCGTACAGTAGTAGTTGCAAGAGAGAGAGAAAACGCGGGGAAGTGAGTACCGGAAAATGTGGGCGTGTGATCAGTCGCCGATGGCCTTATTACGGGCTCCTGTGGCTGGTCAAGGATTAAGACCCGCGGAGTATGTTCGTTCACTCCGGGAAGATGTACATGGGAAGAGCGACTACAGTAGGTTAGGGACGATGGGGTTGTCGTCGTGGTCGATCCAACAGAAAGGGAGATGGAAGTCCAACGCGTTCCAATCGTAGGGCAAATGTAGATAATGTCGAAACGGCGCCCTTTGCGTTGGCATCGGAAGCAAAAGGAAAGGAGCTCCAGATGGGCAGATGGCGCGATGGAAGGGTGCGCGCACGGGTCTGGACCATTGATTGTTACCGGATGTTTGTACTTGGGTTTAGGTGAAGGGTACGGGATATGGGGATATACATCGCGTCAACTCCTCCCCCATGCATGCATGTCTGTGCAAAAAAAAGTACACGCGCTTTTTCCACGTGTGTTCACAGGGTTAATAATATCCACTCCTGTGAATTCCTCTGATCGTCTCTTCCAAGCAAGAGATAAGAGACCCTTGCGGTCTCAAGAGGTTCACCGCGCCGAAAAGAAGAATGTCTGAAAAAGAAGGGTTGTCTGTCCGATCGCTTTCAGCCAGAAGAAAACCCAAACCACGTACACTTCTTTCGTGTCGAACCAATAAGCACACCACTCCGCGGTGCAGGTGACAGAGGTGTGCCCCTAACTCTCGTTGGCAGGCGAATCCCTGGCGAATCCTGTTGTAGAATGGAAATCAATGGCGGGTAGGGAACTATTACAACACACGTTGGAGTTATTAATGTACAACAACGGATGCATGAATGGTTGGCTGTCTATCTAGTCTATGTGTTTCGACGAATAAAAGAGAGCCATGAATCATCAAGTTCATGCGAAATGAGGCGGAACATACTCTCACGTCGGAAGTTGCAGCGGTGTGGCCCGAATCTCTCATTGGCAGGCTAAATAGGTAAGACACACAGTACAGTCATTCCGGCGTCGAATGGGCGGTGCATCCTGTTGTAAGATTGGACGAGGCTTCAATTTGATGGCGGGTAGGCAACGTTTGGTCACAAATTCGTCGAGATCGGTGCAATTTGGTGCCGAAAGCACCTGTCGCATGCTCGTGTTTCGTGCTTGAGAAGGCCGATCACCTACACAGCCAAACGCTATCACGCAGGAGGCGCCAATCAACCTGAAACTTCCTGAGAGCATCCAAAGTAGTGCAGGACGGTCGATGGTCTGATTCCTCGCGCCTCGGGCGTTCGGGTCAAAAAAGCGCGTGGTTCGAAGCTTCGGAGTGAACGGCGACAGACAACAGGACATTTTTTCTTGGGAAACGACACAACAGAGTATACCCTGGTCGAAAAGCGACTCACGTATGGGTCCACAGTCATTAACAGCAAGCAGTAATTGCACTCAACATATGATTGGTCAGCGCCCACTTTCAGCCGCGGGGTATACGGCGTGGGGCCTCAAAGAACAGCGCCTTCGAGGCGACCCTGAAGGCGATGCTCAAGGCGGCGCGGAAGAAGCGCAGCATCGCGAGGTGGAGAGCACTGGAAACGTTCTCGAGGTCTATGTACGGCAGCTCGAGAAGAAGAGCCGCGAGGGGGATCAGGCGGGTTTCTACAGGCACCTGAAGATGATCGACGTCGAAGGTAAGAGGTCGTTCACCTCTCAGAACATCAAGGACGAGGACGGCAAGGTCCTTCGGGACCCCATGTTTAATCGCCAACGGTGGGCACGGTGGTTCCACAAGCTTCTCAACACCAAGTCGCCGACCGTCGACCTGCATGCGGCTGACAAGGTCAAGCGGTGGCCCACGTGCGTGCCACTCGACGACATCTCATCTCTACTCGAGGTTGAGGAAACGGTACGGGAAATGGCCAACAGAAAGGTCGTCGGGCCGGACGACCTACCGGCTGAGCTGATCAAGCTTTTCCTGGACGGAGATCAAGGTCTCATCCGTGAATTCCACGCCATTTTCGTGGAAGTGTGGCAGACGGGGGACGCACCACAGCAGTGGAAGGATGCCACCATCAAAGTGCTGTTCAAGAAGGGGGACACGATGGAGTGCGGCAACTACCCGGGGCATCTCTCTCGTCCCATACGCCGGCAATGTGCTGCTCAAGGTCGTCGCTACACGACTGAGCCACTACTGCGAGCGAGAGGGCATCCTCCCGGAGGAGCAGAGCGGTTTCCGCCCACACCGGTCGACGCTGGACATGCTGTTCGTCTTCCAGCGGCTCCATGAGCTCGCGAGGAAGAAGAGTACTGCGGTGTTCGCGTGCTTCGTCGACCTCACCAAGGCATACGATTCGGTGGACCTAGACCTACTGTGGGACGTGCTCCGACGCTTCGGCGTGCCCCCGAAGATGCTGGCGGTCATTCGCCACTTCCACGAGGGCATGAGGGCGCGCGTCCGAACGGACGACGGGCAGTACTTGGAATGGTTCGACGTGGGCCAAGGCCTCCGACAGGGATGCAACCTATAACACGCACGTGGACATGGTGCAAAACGCGCATGGACCGGAGGGCGTATGGATACATAGGAGAACGCAGGGTGCTGAACATGCCACGGCCGGTGGCAAATGGTTACGGGGACCTAAGCCCGTTCTTCAGCTACCGCGTAGTCGTGAACCAAGACAACCATGTGAGCGAATCACGACTTTTGTAGCCTCGCGCGCGCGTCGCATCAGCCGCATCCTACAGCAAAACAACGCGAACAGCCTCTCTTATCAGCAGTTACTGCTGTATGTTTCTGCATAGATCAACAACCGCCTTGCACCTTGTTCCATTTTTGTGGGAGCGTGAACGTCTTGTCCCGAAGCATACCAGCTCTGTTCATCAGACAACACGTGTTGAGGAAGTATTTAATTATCGCCGTTGCTCATTTTTAACATCAAGGCGCAGGACGCATTCGCTTCGCCATCGCTGCCATCCTGTTGTCTCATCCAATGCATGCATACCTCTTTAGTACATGCGTTCGCGAGGATAAAGAGGTTCAGGTAGCGTGTATCATGCTTTCCGTTCGAGGCAGATAGAAGCAACCCAAACGTACATACTTCGCTCCAACATCACAAAATCACTGCAAGGTACAGCAGCAGGTGTCCCGATATTGTGCCGGTATATGCCCAGGGGGGTGGACCGGCACTATTCCGGCTACCGGCACTATTCACGGTCAAAAAATACCTCAATAGTGTGGACCATTCGACTTCAGGGTGCAGTGCATACGTTCTGCGGGGCTGACAGAGTAGTACCAAACGAATGGTATACGGATCAAATGTGGGGTGGGTGACGTGGGCGGGCTTCTTTAGGAATAGTGAGCTGCCAGCCTATCGAAAACACGGCTTTGGTCACATTAAAAACTTGGCCATATACATTTGTTACACCGTTGTTCT